AACGGAGACGTAACAATACTGATGAAATTAAAGAAAAGCATCACAAATTTAAGAAATTTAAATTGACTGGTATGATGGGAGACTTAGAAGATTCAGAAAGTTGGTGAAACAGAAAATTATGACATCAAAACAGATGTATGAGAAAAGGTTGGTTGATAATGTAAAAATTAATTTAACAGTAAGGATTTCTTTAAATACATTAAGAGTAAACAAAATGTTAGGATGGAGAAGGACCCTTCAGAGATGATAAAGGAAGTCTTGTATCTGATGATCATGAGATGGCTGGGTTATTAAATTTTGGATTTTATTCGGTGTTTAGTAAGGAAATTTTAAGCAGTATTCCACATTTTGAACTGTTGATAGATGGAAACAAGATCGAACTAGATGACTGCATTAATTCTGAGCTGGTTAAGAAAAAATGAGAAATTTAAAGAACGATAAGGCTCTTAGGCCAGATAATATTTCCCCAAGCGTTTTGATGGAGGTTAAAGATTGGATATGTGAGCCACTTGCTACTATTTTTTACCAGTCTTTGAATAATGGGCAGGTACCAGATGATTAGAAAGTTAACTAATGTAACTCCTTTTTTTCAAGGAAGGTGATAAAAACTGTCCCAATAATTATAGACCCATTAGTCTTACATTAGTTGAGGGAAAGTTTTGGAAAGTCTGATAAAAGATGCCTTACAAAGTAATTTAACAAAGTTTAGAACTTTATTGGATAGTCAACATGTTTTCACTAAGGGAAAACCTTGCCTTACAAATCGTTTTACATTCTTTAAGATCTTATGTAGATGAGTGTAAGAGTTTAGATTTGCCGTATCAAGATTTTCAGAAAGCATTTGACAAGGTGCCACATAAAAGGCTTCTAAAACAATTATCCCTATAGGTGTCGGGGATAAGTTAGCAAATTGGATAGAAAAGTAGCTGGATGGAAGAAAGCAGAGGGTTGTTACAAATGGAGTTCAGTCAAACTGGAGTAATGTCACAAGTGGGATACCTCAGGGCTCAGTCTTAAGACATTTGCTCTTTTTGATTTACATCAATGACATAGATGAAGGAATAGTCAATAAACTACTTAAATTTGCAGATGAGATTAAAGTATTGGGTGTTGCTAGCAACGAAAAGGATGCTGCTGGTTTACAAAAGGATTGATATGATTTAGTGAGTTAGACAAATGAATTGTAGAAGGGTTTTAATTATAATAAATGCAAGATAATACATGTGGGTATCATAATTTGAATTATAAGAATAATCTGGATGGAAAGAACTTTAACAATATCATGAAAAAATGGATCTTGGTGTAATAGTTGATCAGTTTCTAAAGCCATCCAAACAGTGTGCTGTTGCTAGTGGTAGGGTGAATAGGATTTTAGGTTGTACCTATACAAATATTGGATGAAAGTCTAAAGAGGTTATAATTTCATTGTATAGGTCATTGGTTAGGCCACATTTGGAATATTGTGTTCAGTCTTGGGGTCCTTACCTTAGGAAAGACATTGGATTATTGGAAAAGGTTCAGAGAAAAGTTGCTAGAATGGTTACTGGGATGGAGGGTTGTCAAACGAGGGGAGGTTGAAATTTCTCAAATTGTTTTCTTTTGAAAAAAGAAGAGTTAGGGGGGATCTGATTGAGGTGTTTAAGATTGTAAAGGGAATTGATAGTGTTGATGCATCATATTTTTTCATACTT